GGGAGGGTGAAATCCCATTTCCCAAATCCAGGGAGGTCCTTGGTGCCACAGCCAGGGGCTCTGGGCATCTGCACACTGGATGATCCAAAAAAGTGGCTTCTCCTCTGCCACCCTCCTAAAATCCCTCCTATGGAGCAAACCCCGTGCAGGTGGTGGGTGACAAGAGACTCTGGTGCCTGTTTAGGACACTGGAATCACTTCCTTTGGGGGAAAAAAGGGCAGAGGAGAAGCTGGGCTGAAGTTCCACCCTGGCACTTTGTTAACTTACATTTCCTGCACGTTGACCCCTCTGCTGGGGGGGAGAACAGAGACACGAAGTGTCTGTTCCCCTGATTTCCATCCTCACGAATTAAAAGGCTCTTGGGAGGCGAGGGCACAACTTATCCCAGCCCTCCCTCCCAACAGGAACCTGCTCATTGATAATTCAGGTGGGAAGATCTGAGGAAGCTCCATCCTGGCTCCTGTGACAGCTCTCACCCCACCCGGGCCACGCACCCTCAGCCCCCTGATCCCACTGGAATAACCCACAGGATGAGGGCATCCCCCCCTCCAATTCACCTGGGGTTGGATCATAAGACAGTTTCCTATTTTCACACAGATTTGCTGGGTTTTTAAGGCGCTTGCTAAAAAAAATAAACCCCAACTCACCCCTCGTGGTTTAAAGACCGTCCTCCAGGTACGGAAAATAAATCTCTTCCCCCCCCGTCCGATCCCCCACGCTCACAAAGCAATACAAAGAAACTTTAATTATGCTTTTTCCCTGCTGGCAAACAGCAAAGGAGGCAGGATTTTTGCTTTGGAAAAGCTGCATTAATAAGTTATTGGCTTTTCTCTGACTTCTAAGCGATTTCAATTATAACTCCTGGCTGGGGCCCCACGGAACTGCTGAGATTTTACACCACATGTTTCATAACATTTCTGTTTTTCTTGCGAGCTCTTTGCCATCAAGGAATTACTTGAGAATCTCAGTTTAAAAACCATGGCCACAGCTGGGCAGAAACCTCTTTCCAAACCACAAACCCGGGCTCGAAAACACCCAAAGAGCGAATCCCAAACCTCGTGTTTGGTGTGAAAGCAACTCGTGATTTAAATCCACCACTGGATCCTGAGGCTGACAGTCCTCAGCTGCAAATAAACCATGGAACTGCAAACCACTTCAGTGTGGGGATAGGTGGGAACAAAATATTTTGGGGTCTGATCTGGTTTGGGTCAGGATTTTGTCCCCAAAAAGGGCTGAGGAGGCACTGGAGAAGATGCTCCTCAGAAATCCAGGCTGCCAGCCCCGTGCAGGGCCCAGCACCCAGCAGGACTCACCCCCTGCTCCTCCCCTCAGTCAGTGCCCACGTGTTGCTTCAAGCTTTTATAAAGAAAAGTCGCTTTTCTGGGATGCAGGGGAAGATAAACGGGGAGATCAGGCAGGGGAGAAACCCCTGTGATGGTACAGACCCTCCAGGCACAGAAACAGCCCCTCAGACCGACTTCCAAACGTCTTTGCCCGGAGGAGGAACAACTCTGAGCTCCAAATGGGCACCCACAAACCTGCAGGCTCAGAGGACTCCCCTCAGGAGCAGCATCTGCAGCCACAAGTTGGGATTTCTGCAGCAATTCCTCGTTTTGCCGCAGCTCTAAAATCCCAAAATGAGCCCACGGAGCCGCTTTGGGGTTGGAGGTTGGTTTTAAATGGAAGCTGGAAATCCTGGTGGTGTCACCACTGCTCCTTCTCTCCAGAGCTCTCCTGGATAATTTATGCACCTATTTCCAGCACCCTCCTCTCCCTCCTCAAACAAATAATCCTTAATAGAGAGGTGAACCAAAAAAAAAAAAATAGGGCCAAAACCTTCTGACCAGCCCGAGAACCATTCCAGGAACTTATCTGCAGGATGCCAGAGACATTCCCACCCCAGGCTTGGAAGCACTGACGTTATGGTGCATTTCCATCCCCCAAAAAATGATAAATCAAAGGCCCTGAGCTCTGTAGGTTTAAGGGAGGTTGATTTCCTTCCAAAAATGCCACCTGGGGCAGAAGTAGGTGTGTTTTAGGTGGGTTTTTTTAGAAAACACGTTGTTTTCTAAACATCTCCTCCCCTTGGCAGAGCTCAGGTTGAAGTGGTCAAACCTGTTCCAGGCCACAAGAAGGAAGGAGGAGAAAGAACTGACCTGTGGGTTTAACCTCTCGCTCCTTGGGCTTTTTGGCAACAGGAAGGATGAAGGTTTCTCATCTTCACCAGCATCTCCCCAGTCACAGACTCCCCCTCCCCAAATGTTTTCTGGGCTCTTTTCACAAAGCTTTAAAATTCCATCGACAGCAAGTTTATAATAACCCGGTTAAAAGCAACAAAAAGCCATTTCTGGACGTCGGGGAGAGGCAGCACTAATTGCTTCTAATGGTATTGAAAAGAAAAATGCAAAGCTTTCAACCCCGGCACAAGAGAAATTTCCACTTCCTCTGTGGGAATTCGGGGGGTTTGAGCTGCACAGACGTGGAAGTTGATGATATTCAGCATTTTTGAGACGGGTTCTCAGCCTGAATTTTAGTGCAGGCACCTTTTTTTTTTTTTCAACCTGATGTTGGGGGCAAGTGGCTCCTTCAGGGACCTAAAGTCACACTGGCCCCTCCAGCATCGCCCCCCGAGTGCATCATCGCTTCTATTAATGCCAGAGTGGGGCATCAGGGGGGAAAAAAAACCCCACAATTCCCACTTTTGGGGTGGAAAAGGCGAGATCTGCTGCTCCTGCAGCAACACCGGGGTTTTGCTTCAGTTCTCGTCGCGGGAAGGGAAAATTCCCGGGAATACCCGGGTTGGGGAGGGGAGGTTTGGACTGTCTGATGTGGGGTTTTTAATAAAACCCCAGAAATCAGAGGCTCAGGACGCGGGTGCGGGGCCGAGAGGGGCCACACGAGGGCACTGCAGAACTCGGGAATGGCAGCGACCCCCCCCCAAAAACACACCGTGTACCCGTCACACACTGACACACCCCCATCATACACTGACACCTCCCCAAAACCACCCCAGGTACCCGTCATCCCCCCATCATACACTGACAACCCCCATCATGCACTGACACCCCCCAAAAACCACCCCATGCACTCACCTCCCCCCCAACATGCACTGACACCCCTCCAACACCTACTGAACACTCCCAAAACTCACTGAACCCTCCCCTAACAGTCAGTGACATCCCCCCAGTACCCACTGAACCCCCCAGAAACCCCCCATGTACCCACAGACCCCCCCAGCACCCACTGGCACCACCCAGTACCCACAGACACACACACCTCACCCAGAAACCCCTCCCATAGCTACAGATACCCCCCAGAGACCTCTCTTGTACCCACTCACACCCCATAAACCCCCCTTGTGCCCACTCACACCCCATAAACCCCGTTGTACCCACAGATCCCCCAAACTCACAAAGTAACCCCTGAAGGAGCTGAATATTAAGTGGCACAATTTATAGGATCCCAGAATGGGTTGAGTTGGGTTGGGAGGGACCTTAAATCCCATCCAGTGCCACGGGCAGGGACACCTTCCACAATCCCAGGGTGCTCCAACCCGGCCTTGGCCACTTCCAGGGATGGGGCAGCCACAGTTTCCCTGGGAAATCCATCCCTGCCCCTCACTGCCCTCACAGGGAAGAATTTCTCCCTAATGTTCCTCCTAAATCCACCCTCTTCCAGCTGAACTCCTGCCCCTCAGGACTCTGGGATCTCCCTGACACGAGCAGACCAAGGGAGCTCCCACTTTCTGAGACAAAACCGTTTCTGCCGAGTCTTCCGGCGCTCCGGGCGGAGCTGGAAGCGTCTCCTAAGAAATCCTAAGGAATCACCGCAGCCCTCAGGACTTCCCCGGTGCTTCCCAGCCCTGTGCAAACATTGGCTTCCCAATCACTCCTCGGGGACCAGCCCGTGGAGCTGGGCCATGGCTCATTGAGTAAAACCATCCCCAGCCCACTCCATCCCTTCCCGCTCCCCGCGGGGACGGCTCGGAACGTCCTCCCATTCCCACGGCCAAGTCCAGAGCACCCAAAATTAAAAAAGCCCGTCCAAAATTCGCACTGCTGGGCTCTCCCTGCCTCCAAACCATCATCCCACTCGGAGACTCCTTCCCTCGAGCCTGGATTTAACAAAGCTGGAAAACCAGGAAGGCGGGAGAGGCGGCGTTTAACGGCACGGGGGGGTTTGCAGGGAAGGGCACAACCTCTGGGTGGTGGGAAAAGGCCCCAGGAACGATGAGGATGTTCCCACAACGGGTCAATTTATCCCTCTGGCTGTGGGCAGAGGGATCACCCCGTGTGCTGCCCCTTTCCATCACTGGGTTGGGTTTCCATCACTCCAAGGGCTCCACTGGGAGCTCTCCCAGCCCACAGCAGGAGCAGGGTGGGTGCTCCAGGGGGTCTGAATGGAGTAGAGAGGGTGGCAGCAAAAAGCCCCACAAAAAAACAAACAAACAAACAAAAAACAACCAGAAAAAATGAATTTTCACGCTCAGAGAAATCAGGGAAATTTGGGTAACGACGAGAGCCAGCTTGGGAAATTTTTAAGTGTTCCCACTCTTCCTGCAAGGATGTTCTAATCCAGAAATCGAGGCTGCTCGGTGCCCTATAGCTCAACCCCTTTGAAGAGGGAGGTTGAGCACCCAAGAAACACCCCAAAGTCGCTCATTAACTCTGGGAAATGTTGGACACCAGGGAAGATTCTGCATTTTTTTCCATCGCTTGACAATCCAAAACAGACCAACCAAGCCCAACTTGTTGATCAAGAAACACATGTAAACTTCCAAAATATTAAAATCAGGATCATCACAACATTTCGTGGTCATTGACAAAGAAATGCATCAATCACCAAACCAACCCCAAAAGCACCCAAAATCAAAACCAAAACCATGTGAGATGGGTGGAAGACAAGGAAGTCCTGAGGGATCACACCCAGCTTTCCACCTTCTCCACTCAAAGAACTTCAAGAACCATCAGTGGAACTTCAAGAACCATCAGTGACTTACCATCCTCCTGCAGGTCTGATGGGAGGGATGTCATGGAAGGGGCCAAACTGCAGCTCTGATTTTCGTCAGAACTGTCCTGTCCAAAGCCAGGATCATGTTGATCCTCCCCTAGAAAGAGAAGAGAGCCTGATTTTAGTGGACACATCCTCAAAACCCAGATATTCCTGCCTTTGCTGCGTGTCCTCCCAGCTCCCACTGAAGCTCTCTACAAAGCCCCAAAACACTTTTGTGGGGTTTAAGGGATTTAAGGCCAGATCCATCACTCAGGGCCAAGGCAGTGCATTCCTGCTGCCAGAACACTCATGCTGGATACGTGCAGCCTCCATTCCTGGAAGGCACACAGGGAAGGAGCTGAAAACACCAGTTTTGGGGGCCAAACTATCAGAAGTACATCAGAACTCCTTGTTCTCACTCTCAGCAAACAACCTCTCCATATAAATCATCCACGTGTAGAACAGAGCACTGTGCCACCTGCTCCACTAGAATGAATAATCTCCCTGTGTTTTAGGAAAAAAGCTTTGAGATCCTTCATTGAAGAGTGACAGGGATAAAGAGGCTGACTCCATGCCAGGCAGGCACACACGAATTACCAAAGCCCCACATCTGGGTGTGGGGACAGGAGCTGTTCCATCCCCACCCTTTGATGGTGCAGGGAATTTTTTTTTTTGCTGGGGAATTTGCAGCTGACATTGGATTTTCTGCAGGAGGCACTTTAAGGCACTAACAGTGACAGATGTTAATAGCAAATTTTAATGTCAGTGGAGCACTGGCCTACCTGGAAAGGAAAACACCACTCACCCCTAAACAAAGTGAAAAGGGGTCTTTTCAAGCTGATTATTTCCTGAGCACACAGAGCCCAGACTGCTGATAGCAGAGGTAAAGACAGCTGCTCGCTCATTCAACACGCACCAAACAGCAAGAAAGGGGAGTTTTCAGCTGATGTTAATTGTGCTCAAACACTAAACCCAAGTTTTATCTCGGCAAACAGAGGACTTTTAAATCAAGCCCCGATGAAAGGGCACCAGGGGCCTTGGCAGGGAGGTTCCAACCCTCTCCCCAACCCCCCTTCAAGAAGAACCAGAGTGGAGATGCTGTTGAAGCCTCAGCTGCAGAAAGTCCCGACGCAATATTTCGGAGGTGGTTTATTTTTAACAACCTGGAGCTCACTCAGACCACCCCCCCCCAGGCTCCTGCAGCCGAGGGCACGTTTTCAAGAAAACTTCCAGTTCCTTCATCCAAAGGAACAACCTGGCTGTGAAGAACATCATGCACAAGATTGTCCTCCCCCAGCTCAGCTCATCAGAGCACAAATCACACGGTGCCAGACACGGGGAGAGCCTCGTTGATACCAAAACCTCAAAGGTCTTGAAAAATCCGATGGGAGATTTGACTTTGGGATTTACCAAAGGCTTTTGGGGGGTCAATGACACAACACGGGGGTCCCTGGCAGTCCATCCTTGAAGCCATTACAACTTCCCCAAGAGGGGAAGAGCCCAAGCAGCAATAAAACCCCTTTCCCAGCTCTATTGCCACTTTGCTTCCAGCAGCCTCAGGGTGGAACCATCGGATTCCAGAGGAAAAAAAGGAAATTCAGAAAATAACTCCTCTCCTTTGGGGAGGTGCCATCGTGCAGTACCATCTGCACTGCTGACTCCTCGTGCCAAGAAGAGAAGCTGAGGGTTCCCTGGCCCCAAAAGGGCAGGCTCTGATCCCTCCCGATGGATCCCACGGGATCACAGGGATCACCCACCCACACGTTCATTCTCAGCCATGAAGACCAAGCCAAGCACATTCCCGTGTGCTGCAAGAAACCAAAACTCACAAGGGCACCTCCCCGAGGTAAAAAATACCCAGTGAGGGGTTAAAAAGCAGAGATAAAGCCCTGGTCTGCTGAGCAGGCTCCCAGCACATCCCTGAGCGCTCCCAGCACATCCCTGAGCTCTCCCAGCACATCCCTGAGCATTCCCAGCACATCCCTGAGCGCTCCCAGCACATCCCTGAGCTCTCCCAGCACATCCCTGAGCTCTCCCAGCACATCCCTGAGCATTCCCAGCACATCCCTGAGCGCTCCCAGCACATCCCTGAGCGCTCCCAGCACATCCCTGAGCTCTCCCAGCACATCCCTGAGCGCTCCTGAGCGCTCCCAGCACATCCCTGAGCGCTCCCAGCACATCCCTGAGCTCTCCCAGCACATCCCTGAGCTCTCCCAGCACATCCCTGAGCGCTCCCAGCACATCCCCGAGCGCTTCGCTGACCGCCCGACCTTGGCCGAGTCCTCTTGGTGAAAGCCTTGCTCAGCTGGGTGTGACAGGGGGATGTTTCTTCCCTGTTTCACCCCTATAAAAAGGTTCTGATAAAAAGCTGCTACCAAAAGGAAACGGGGAGCTGGTTCCCAGGAGGAGCCTCCCGGTGCTGTGCCACAGGAACACACGGGCGCGACCGGACACCTTCCACGAGCCCCTTCAGCCCCTGGAAAAGGACATTTTCTCCCAGCCCGAGCACACTGTGTTAAAATCCGCTTTTCCAGAGCGGCTCAGAGGTAACAGGTGGTCCCTCCTAACGAGATCCAGGTGCAGGATTATGGGGATAACAAGCAAAGTGTTCCCGGGCCCCGGCACAGGGAGCGCCCGAGCGTGGCTGCACGAAACCACTTGGAACGGGAACAAGGGCCCCCAGCAGCAAAGTTCCTTGCAGGAATAAGTCACAGGAGGACTTATTGTTCCCCTGAACAGCAGGAGAAGCTGCTCCACACATCGAGAGAAGCTGTTCCACACATCAACCACGGAGCCCCAGGTCCCAGAGCAATTCCCACACACGGAATATCTGGGAATATCACCGTAAATGTGCTCGTCCTCATCCCTGTGCAGGAGGGGAAACCGGGGGGGGTTCACCCCAATATAACTCACCCATAAACCACCCAAACATAATTCAGCTAGAAAAGAATCAAATCTATAAAAATCTCCCCACCCAGGGAGCGTTCCAAGCGTGGCAAGAGCCGGGACCCTGCGAGCTGCTGCGGCACAAATCAACCCAAACAAAAGTGTTTGCTTCCCTTAGGAATGTTTTCAAACACCACCTCTCAAGTCACAAAACAGAAACCAAAGGGAAAAAAATAAACTCTGCTGCTGGAAACTAATCCTATCTATGGCTTTTCCATTTGGATTTGCATCACCAGAACTTCCCTGTGCTTTAATCCGCTTTCTCCATAAAGTTTATGGAGCAGCAACAGCCAGTTGAGTCCAAGCAGAAAAAAAATAACCAACAACTTGTCAGGGGCCAAGCTATTGTTCTGATGAAGAAAAAACTCATTAGCTTTTAATGAAAACACAGGGAATAAAAACCAAATAGGCACAGAACCCCGGCAAATAATTACCCTGCACCTGACGCAGTGCTGCTCCATCTTCCTGCTCCAATCCACAGCAAAATCCCCCGACTTGTCGCTCTTTGGAGCACAAACAAAACCAAAATCGGCTCTAAGGGAAACAGCGAGAGGTTTCTTGGGCTTAAACCTCATCCCAGGGGCTCCCCTGGCACTGTTTGCTGTCCCCAGGGGGGTTGAAGACCTGGATTTCTTGTTTTGTGGCACAGGAAAGATGAGGTTATCCCATCTCTGAGCTGCCTGGCACTTCCTGCAGCAGCAGGGGAGTCTGAAGGCTTTCTGTGGAATTAACACAGATTTATACTGATCTTTCATACTTCTCAATTCTGAGCAATTCCAGAGGGGGCAGATGTGTCCCTGGTGTCTCCAGGAGAAGTCCAGTGCCTTTGGACAGGTCACAGAGGACCCAGGGAGGTCACCCAGACCTGGCATCAGGCAGAGACAAAACCTCTGGCAGGGCCCTGGCACTGGGGGAGGAAAAAACCACCAAGAGAAGAGACCAAAAAGAACCTTCTTTGGCACTCCCAGGGCTCTGAGCAGGGAGAACAGGCAGGACCCACAGGAGGAAGAGTCACCACGAGATTATTTACAAGTGCCAGGAAAAGGGGGAACGGCTTCCCACTGACAGAGGGCAGGGAGAGATGGGAAATTCAGGGAAAAATCCTTCCCTGGGAGGGTGGGGAGGCCCTGGCACAGGGTGTCCAGAGAAGCTGTGGCTGCCCCTGGATCCCTGGAAGTGTCCAAGGCCAGGTTGGAGCAACCTGGGATAGAGGAAGGTGTCCCTGGGGGTGGAACTGGATGAGCTTTAAGGTCCCTTCCACCCCAAACCATTCCATGATGAGGGAGCAGGCTGTTGCTTCTCCTCCACAACCTCAGAGCACCAACTCTGGAATCCAGGGAATAACCTGCCCTTTCTTTCCCTTCCTGTTTGATTTGGGGACCTCCAGCACTGAGGAGTAAAAATCAAATCCTGCCACTGCTCTGGCTGAGCTGCAGGACCTGGCAGGTGACAGCTCTGGGGACAAACACCAGAAAAACCCCAGTTTGGGTTCTGGCTTTGCTGGAATTCAGTTGTGCAAAGCCAGAACGTTCCTCCACGCCCATCTCTCTCTGCAGAAGAAGAGGGACTGTTAACACTTTTTTCAAGACTAGAACCTTTTAGTAAAATCTCAAAAATCAATTTTCCCCGAGACTAAAATATTTTTTCCCGTGCACAGACCGGTAAAGAAGTTTTCCTGCCTTTGAGCTGCAGTTGGGTCTCGTGGAGAGGGGTGAAAAGATAAAGAAAAACATAAAAAAAAAATAAAAAAAAAAGCTGAATTAATGCATCCAGGCACACACAGGAAGAGAAACAATTTAAACAGGTGAAAGGGCTTTGTCAGAGAGGAAAAAAAGAAAAAAAATTCATCTTCAGCAGCTTGTTAAGGGAACTGCAATTAAGCTTAGTTTGCATTCAGTGAAGGTCTTTATCCAGGTACCCAGAGTTTCATTAAGCATCTTTTTAGAGCGTCAGAAAAATCAATACCAGGCGGGTCCCATTTACACTTTTATGATGAGCTCCTCGGTGCCAGAGCGGGAGGAAAACCCCCAACTCCAGTTAATATTCCAGGAAAACAAAAAGTTCCTGCTCTCCAAGTAACGACTCCTCGGCATCAAACGCTCCAAATAAAGGTCTCTGATCCAAATCCCATCTGCCTTCATGCCTGACAGTGTTAATATCTCTTAGATT